CTTCTGGTTCCAGATGAATCTTAGGAGTGATTTCTCTAGATCTATGAGGTATGTTGATGGTATTTTCATTGGGATTGAATTGAATCTGTATAACAGTTTTGGGAGAACGGTAGCATAAAACTTTCTAAACCTGCAGCGACTGAATAGCCACTGATGCCAGAGAATAGGAGTCAAGGCTCATGTACCAATGCTGTGCACTCTGTACGGACCTGAGATACTGGGTCCTGGCCATTTCTCTTCTTTGCTGGTCTGTCTGTCCAGTGTGTCAGTCCTTAGAGCTGAGCTCCTGTCACCCACTGGGCTCCTGCCTCTGTGGCTGGAAGACTCCCTGGGAATCTCTCTGCCTGGCTTTGCCCTGCCAGAGGCACAGGTGACCAGCTCCTGGGGAGGCACCAGGCAGAACCTCCCTGGAGGAAGAGCCACACACCCGAGGGTGCACCATTTGGGAAGCTGTTCCTTGTCTGCTCTGAACAAGCATTTCTGAGATGTTAGGTGACAATGCGAGGGAGGATCTGGAGTGGCTGAATCACCAATACAAGAGGCCACCTCCCTCCGACTCCTGTGATGGTTACTCCCCCCAGCCTGAATGACCAGGATGGCCATGCCAGGACATGTCCTGCCCCTCATCACCCCTCAGCTGCTAACTCCAGGCCCAGCCCTGAGCCACCGTGGAAGAGCAGAGTCCAGGGCCAGGCTGGGAAGAAGCCCTTTCTCTGCTCTATCTCTGGAGCAATTCTCAGGGCCCCGTCTTATAAATTTATATAAGAGGGAAGTATTGGGGCTTTTTCACATCTCTATTAGATGTATAGAAACACTGTCTGTGGTTTTATTGTTTTTAAATTACCGCAGGCCTTAGTATTATCTTGAAATAGAATATTCCATGGTAACTGTGATGAGTTGGAGGCCAACTAAATATGATTGTATCCAAGCCCAGAAATAATTCTAAAGCAGAATGGACTCCTTGGAAGCCACATTTCTAAAGGATCTCGATGGTAATATATAAACCACTGAAGTAAAGTTCAAGTGGTGTGTAAATGTCATCAGGTCCAGGATATTAAAAATGCCATTTTATAGCATGCATAGTTTGGGTGGAGTTCATGATTATTAAATCTTGGATAGCACGAGTCAACACATTCAGAATGTTTTATATTCTTGTGTGGGGTCACGCGGATGTGTTCCCCTGCCCTCCCAACCCACCCACAGGTCTGTGAGCAGAGCCCTTTGCCCGATGCAGAAACAGCCAGCTTTGGCTATAGGGAGCCCAAGGGGAGATGCCGAAGGACGGGGAGCCAGCTCTCTCCCAAACATCTTGCGGTGGCCCCTGCCCCCAGGAAAAACCTGTTTTGGATCCCATGAGCTCTTTTCAGCACCAAGTATGTGAGGGTCCTGCAACAGAAGTGCCCTGCAGAGCTGAGTCCAGTTACCCTGTTACAGGGCTGCTCTCGGCAACCTGATGCCACCCCCTTCTGTGACACCCTCCCTCGGGCCTGCCTCTTGGTTATGTTTCAAGCTTCCTGTTTGCTGTTTTTGTATAAAGAGGGCTGACTCATTCATTTCACTTTAATTCGACAAGCATTTATTGAGGACCTGCTATTTTAGGCGCTGTGGTTGGTCATTGTCACCTATTTATCTCCAAGTGGAAAGTCAGTAATGAAGATAGAAACCAGACTCCATAGACTGGAATATAACGCTTCTGGTTTTCACAAATGTACATCAAAGCCTTAAAGACTGCTAGGAGCATGCAGGGCTGAAAACACTGTGTGTCATGCAATGCTCAGCAGGCTTGCACGTGCGTGCATGTGTGTGTGTGTGTGTGTGTGTGTGTGTGTGTGAGCACGCATGCAGCATTCTCAATCTATACACTCACCAAAATGTAGAAGTACCACCTACTGAGCTGAGAGACTTGTGTGGCCACTCCTGGACCTCCTTGGAAATGGGGCAATCCAGTCTAAATCAACCAGAGCCTGAAAACTCCGGGCAGGGCAGGAACGATTTTCCCTACACAAAAATGTGGCCACTCCAGACAGATCTGGCCTGAACACAAGTGCACACAATTTGCTTTGCACTTACTGTGCAAAGCACATACTGCAACCAGATGGCCAGGTAAGACACACCCCTGATCTCAGGCCACTGGGCAGGGGAGGGGAGACAGATCCACGCACAGTCCTCGGCCTGGAGGAAACCCACTGGTGGTGTCATGAGGTTGGACCTCCGAGGGAAAGGGTTGAGGACATCACACTTAGGCCATCTTCCCACTGCACCTGGGTCCCCAGAAATTCCCACGCAGGTGAGGCAGGTGGGCCACTGGGGCTCAAAGCCCAGGATGATTCTGCTCTGCTTGTCCTATGAAAGAAGGGCTTTGTAGACTTGGGTTTTTTTTAAAAGCATCTTTAAGCAGATTTCAGACCCAAAGACACAGAGTTCCACTGCTGCAGGTGCAAGCGGGACCCAGTGTCACTCACCTGAGTTATCCCGTGTCGGGTGCCTCCCTCCCATCACTACAGCACAGGCCTCTTGTGGCAGAGCCAGCTCACCCTCAGCATTGGCCCGAGACTGGGACGACTTACCTAATAAGGCTGAGACTCCTTGAGCTTGTTTGGCTGACATTAAATAGCAAAGCCCCTCAGTCATGAACCTGGTGGAACTTGCAGCCTTGTGCCAGGCTGTGTGGCTTAACTTTTCCACACCCTGACTTAGAGGGGCATGATTCCAAGTCAGCTCCCCACATCCTGTCCAGGGAAAGTGAACATCTTTGGGAAAGTTTTGTGAGGAACCACATGGCCATGGACTGCGGATTTTCTTCTGAGGGTTTTATATGCTCCAGCCAACTGGCTACGAAGTCACCCATAATAGCCGTGACTCCAGCCTCCCAGCACCCCCATCCTCCCCAGGATGTGCACAGAACTGTGGCCCAGATCTCTGCCCTCCACAGCAGAGACCTGCTCTCTGCCATGGCTGCTTTCTCACGTCTGTTTTCTACTGGGAAATTTTTCACAGGATTTGGCAGAGCTCGGCCCAGTTTTCCAAGTGACAGAGTGACAGCGCACGTGTGTGTGGCTGCAGATGGTGCACCTGGGCTGTTGGGAGCTCTTAGGTCAGGAGAGGCTCCACCCTGGGCAAAACCAAGGACATTTATAGTTCTTATTTCTCTTTGCAACCTGATTCTTATATGGGCCCATACTGACGTCAGTAATAAACAATAATAAGATTGTAAGCTATTGCTCTTTATAATAAAATTATGTTTCTTGGATGTATTATAAATCTAATAGCTATTACATCAGCACCCATAACTATATATCATGCTTACCTTTTAAACACACACGGAATATTATATGGCTCAACCGAAATGTCCAGATTTATTATAACTGGTTGGCCACAGCCCTTATTACGTCACAAATGACTAATCGGGAAAACATGAAGGAGATGTGGTGACAGAGGTGGACTCCCCCCTGGCTTTTGGGGGCACAGAGTGACAAGTGGGTGGCAGCTGCCTTGCTGCCCTCCCCCCCCCGCAGATGTGGCTATGGGGGGCCCTGGAGAAGTCTCCAGGTGCTACGGGAGGGTCTATGAGCTTTGCTGAAGGGCGTGACAGTCACAGTATGCACCTCAGATGCAAAATAACTTCTAAGTAATAGGTTTGTCATTCGGTTTACTTTAATAAATCATCTCCTCCTCCTGGGAGCCTGTGACTTCATCACCCTTGGGGAAGGTTCTGAATGTCCTTGTACAGAGACCTCCTCACACGGGGCTGGGCTGTCTGTTTTTGTTTTCTGTGTTCTCATAAAATGCAGGCACAAAAGAACTGGAGTTGATAGCCAAGGGTCAGAAATATGGAGCTGAAATATTTCAATAAATTATTACTAATAGTAGTTATACTTTAAGCCTTTCCTAGCTAGTCCACTGACAAACTCCAAGGGGTCTCTCTTAAAGCACCCCCTACACACACACACCAAATCAAAGGGGCTCTGGGGAAGGAGAGCTTCCTAGTTTTCTGGGAGAAAAACCAAAGTGCATGGCACCCAGGAATCTCTCCATGCTGCTCGAAGAAGGTGGGATTTTAGACCTCAGGTCAGGGCTCCACTGACACCTTAGGAACGGGGGTGGGGGGAGGATGCCCACTGGGCCCTTCCACATCCTCCTGAGGGCTGTGGCAGGTGACACAATTACAGACACCTCAGCCAGCTGAGTGATCAGTCTCCACCAGCCAGGATGCCCAGAGGACGGGATGAGGGCAAGGTCTCCATGCTGGGCTTCGTGCTCCCTGGAGCACCATCCCCAGTGAGGACAGGGCAGCGGGGGACACAGCCACTGTGTGACCCAGGGAGCAGCCTGTGGGCTGTGCATGCGGGGTCCCAGTGCCTTGTCTTCCTGTCCACAGCACTGGTGAAGAGAGGTGGCCTGTGGGTGTGAGGCACGCAGGGGACTAAGACAGACAGGGAAGGGCCTGGCTGTGGGGACAATTGCCCTGTGCCAACTGACTTCCCAGACTAGAGAGCCCAGTGTGAGATTCCCAGCTTGGCACCTGCTCCAGAACCTTCCTGATGAAAAAAAGGTTGTCTTCATTAAGAGCATTAATATTCATGCGGCATGGTAATTTTGACACAGAAAAGGTCTCTGTAACCTTTTCTTGTGTGAGAATTTTTTACTTCTCAAGGAAATTACAGTCCAGCAATGACTTAATTAATGCTGGGTTTCCTCAGCAGGTTTGAGAAGCTGTCAGTTTGGGGTTGCAGGAACTGTCAACCAGGGAGCAGCCTGGCTGGGAGATGGGCAGGGAGGCCCCCGCCCCCATGGGGCTCCGTGGGCTGGTGGGGGACACGAACTGTCCCCCATTAGTTTTAATTTAGCAACCAGCTCTCTCTAATGCTGGGTCATTTATTATTGGGACAGAGGGCACAGCTTGAATTAATATTCCATTTTTCACCCGGCATATTTATTCTTTTTATTGTAATGATTTTGCTTCTAATCCATTTGGCTCTGGTAATTTTAGCTGAAGAACAACGAAGTGGGTGCCCCAAGAAGAGAGGTAGCCAGCAGCCTCGTTCCCAGCTGTGATAGCCCCAGAAGTGAAGAAAACTGTCCTTGTCTTAAAAAAGCATCCCCTACCACCACCACAGAAATGGCTCTGAGCGATGAGCAGTCAGGTGTCAGGGTGGCTTCCACACTGCTTTCTGTCCTGGAGGACCTGCCGTGGACAAGGAGACAGGATCAGGAACCACTGTCCAGAGCTGTGGTGCTCCGAGAGTCTTGGCAGCCCTGCATGGGTCTCCTTTTCTGAGCTGACACTCCTGAGCCACTGCCAGGGAAGGCCTGGGGTGTGGTCCAGGCCCCCCACCCCTTGGTTCATCTCTGCCCAATCTGTAGCCTTTCTGGGAATGTCACACATGCATGGGACTCTGCTGCAAAAGACACAGCAGATCCTGTCCTACACACACATGAGCCAGGCGCCATAAAGCAAAGGAGCAGAGGGACTGGGGAGCGCTTGTTTCCAGCGGTCATAAATCTGCTCCGTGGATGGGCTTCCCTGTCATCCACTGTGTGCTTCCTGGTTTGTATTTCCAAGACACTGACAATCAGTTGGAACACTGCTCTGCAACGTTCTCCAGGTTGGAATAAGGAAGACAAAGACTTCCCAGAGCTCCTAAGCACCAGAGGGCTTTCGGATGACAGGAGTCTCCTATATCACAAGCAAAATGGAAGCTTCCAGAGCACTTAGGAGCAGGGGCCTGCCTCTGCAAGGCAGGGTAGAAGCCTGTTTCAGCAAACATCAGGAGTCCAAGGGGAGAAGGACAAGAGTAAAGGTCAGTTTCCAGCTGCAGAGAATAAATCAGCAGTGTTTCTGCACAGGCACACACGGGCATGTTCAGGCACAACACCCACAGCCCACCCTGACTGTCTTCCTGGGCACATACGGGTTGTCTGGTCACAACAACCCTTCAAGATCGGATGAGAAAAGAAAGAACGGTATGTGCTCCCCTAGGAGCTTCTTGGTCTGAGAAGTGAGCACCCCAAGGGGAGGAGATCGCAGGATGGACACAGGTCTCATGGATCCAGGCAGCAGGCCGGGAGGCCACACTGGAGCCTGCCCTTGGGTAGCAATGGGCAGGCTAAGCCAGCAGGTCAGCCTTTGGAGCTGCTGGTGTCACAGCAGACCTACAGCCGGTCCCTGAGCTCCGAGACTAAGCCAAGGCATTGCAATTTGAGTGGAAAACACCAGCTCACCAGGGTCCTGGTGCATACTTAAATTCACGTTTTTACAACCTGATGAAAAATCTTCCCAGGAGGAAGGCAGAGTCTCCGTGCCCCTCCACCTGTACTAAATTCTGCAGTAAACAAAATAAGCGCAGCCCTGAGAGTCGTGTTCGTACTTACTGCTGCTGAGCGCTGGTGGGGCCCCCCGGGCCGAATCCACGGGCTGAGGATAAATAACACACACTATGTTTTTAATATCCTTAGGTTCCCAAATAAAATAAATATTTTATACCACCGGGGCATAACAAAGTAGGCAGATGGACCAGAGAGGCGGAATTAGGAGCCGAAGAGGAGGCAAAAAAAAAACCCAGGCCCTTGGTAGAAGCAGGAGAAGCCGCATGGGCAAGGAAGGGGAGAGCGCCGGGGTGAAGTTGGTAAATAATAACAAAAATATATGGAACATCTGGTCAGGACCGGGAAATATCTCTTACCCTCCGGAGAGAGACCAAAGACCAGGCATGTTTCCAGGGCCGTATTTACTGGCTGGTGATGGCACTACAGTAAATTTCCTATGCCTCCCCTAAAATCTCTTCCCTTGTTCCGATATTAAGAACTGGGGAAAGGGCACAGGTGGACTCACCAGAAGAAACCACAAAGGAACTGCAAGGGAACCTGCTGTCCCAGAGCCCTCACCGAGCAGGAGGTGCTGGGCCTCCTGGTGCTGGGCGGAGACGTTCCCCACCACCAGCGCTGCTTCAGGCTGCAAAGGAGATCTTTGGGCTGGAACTGCCCTCTAGTGGGACCCCGAGTTCTCCACTGTGGGTGCCAAGGGTTTGAGGTGGGAAAGGTGAGGTCTGGAGTTCACAAGGACCAAACAGAAAGGGCATCTGCCCTGCCCGAGCAACCAGGATGGCTTTGGTGGCAGCTCTGAGCTCTGGACCAACCCGGACCAACACCATCACAGAGCTTATACAACCACAGCTTACAGAGGGGTTGAATTTGCTCAGGGCTGTCACTTACGGTTGGCTGGCTCCCAGGCAGTGATGTAACGGAAAGGCCTGCTGGACAAAGGTCTTAGTTCATGTGGCAAGAAAACAGAGCCGGGGGAGAGACAGGGTGGAAGGGATGAGAACCCACAGATGCCTAAGCCCGTCTCTGGGACCCACCCAGACACACCTGGAAGTGTGTTCCACCAACCAGGGTTGGATCCCAAAGCCAGTCAAGCTGAAACTAAACCCGAGGCATCCGTCTGAGTGCTAGGTAGATTCCCATATGACTTGTAAGCAAATGGGCCAGCAAGGAGCCGAGACTGGGCCACCGAGAGCAGGGAAGGGGTGGGCGGGAGTCTGTAGCAGCTCCCTTCCAGGCTTCATTTCCTACTAAGAGACCCTGGTCCTATTCAGGTATCAGGCACAGATCTCCTGATGGGGAGGATGGGCCTACTCTTCCTGCACTAGAGAGTACATTATAGTAGCTCTATCCAAACTAGCTCATAATCGTCAGCGACTGGTGTAGGAGCAGGTACACGATCCTGTTCTGACCAGAGGAAGGGTCTTTAGGAAAAGAATCCTTCTCAGAAAAAATGACGAAGCCTCTGAAGAATATCTCCTCTTCTCACTGCCCCATTTTTAAGTGACAGTGTGATGTCTGGAATCACAATGTCATTCTGTGGCCTGAGATAGCGACCGTGATGGTGCAAAGTGTGAAAGGCATTGCAAACAGAAACAGTGGCACACCAAATGGTGGGGCCTGGCCCACAGCTGCCGAGCAGCTTGGCAGTATCTGAGCTGGCTGATCGTGTTGTTTAAGGCCCTCACCTGGGCAGACCAATTTCCTGGACACTCTAACCATACAGTTCATCCCAATGCTAGCAGAATCCCAAGATGATGAGACACAGCAGGAAAAGGAAACTGAGCGGGAGCAGATAGTAACGGGACTGAGTTGTGTGGAGTATTGCAAGAGCAGGACGAGAGACGGGACCAGTTCGCCCTGCAAAATCAAGCGCATCACATGTCCTTCGCGGCATGGGACCAGGAAGCTGGGCGAAAGGTGGACAGTAGCATCAGATGCTTGGGGTGACTGTAGGGAGGACGGCGTGTAGGTTGCTGGTGTCATGGGTGAGCTGGTTCCAGGGACCCTGACAGAGTACTGGCCCCAAAAGGCTGAGAGATGAAAATCACCAGGCCAGGGGCCATTGAGAGGAAAGCAGAGACCCAGAACAAAGTCTGGGGTCTGCACAATGGGGACACCCAGAGAGAGAGGGGGCAGGAGGATCCTCAGGAGCTGGGGGGAGAGAGAGCACAGCGTGTACACCCAGGAGGGAGCGGGCTCTGGAGGGCTGCTCCGACTCACTTCTAACTTTGTACTCTAGTTCTGTTACTCCTCTTGCTAAGAGGGGCGGAATTAACCTGCTTCCTGAACCAGAGAGCCCAGGAGTCTGTTCTGAGAGCCGGGATCTCTCCCTGCCCCTTTTGATGCCCCTGTCGCTTGTTTTGCAGGTTCTGTCATCTCTGCCCGCAGGTCACGCGGCCCCATCACAGCGACGCTCACACTTGTCCACAAACACAAGCTCGGAGGCTGAAGGCAGAAAACACCAGTGAAAACCCTCTGGGTGCAGTGACCCTGTGGAGTCCAGGACCCCGGAACATCCCCAGGAATGAGCTAAACACACTGCTTACATAACAATGGGACTGTTCTTCATAGCTGTGACATCTTAGCCTCAAATTATGCTAATAGGCTTTTTGAAAATGCTGTTTTTGTTTTCAAAATACTTTCTGATGTGCTCTCTTCCTTTAGTTTCTTAAGGATCCCAATAGGTTAAGAAAGAGAAATGAATGCCTAGTCCACAGCAGAGACCCAGAGAGCCAAGGGGAAGTTCTATGGATCCTCTCTGCATCCAGGTCCCATTACCTGGCCCTCCCCTTGCACTGGCGCTCGGGTCCTGAACCCTCGGAGTAGAGACTGGTTCTAGGCCCTGACCTGAGTCACCAGTGCCAAACACCAGAGCCTTCCAGAGCTGGGCTGGGGCCGCAAGGACCAGAGCTTCCTCTGCACCATCCTCTGCAGGCTGCTTGCTGCCTCCAGCCCAAGTGAGGGGATCCATGGGCTCCCCAGGCTCCTAAGTTGGCCAGGACCAGGGAGAAATGACATAGGACCCTCCAGAAGCCATCTTCACCCTTGCTCTGACACCGAGGGTAGGTTTGTGCCCACCCTCTGCTCTGGGTTGCAGCTGTCACTGTCTTATTTTGGGGAATGATTTCCAAGCCCACAGTTCCAACCGGAGCTCACTTCCCAAGCCTTTCCTCAGTGCTCCCCACCTATGTTCTTGGGAGGCCTCCTCTGAACCCTGTGCTCAGATGGATGGAGAGCAGTCATAACCTGGACGCCACACCAGCAGCCTTCTTCACAGCATCCCTGGCCCCTGCCTCCGATGCCTCCTTGCAGCCTGAACCCTCGGCTCCCTCCTAGCCAGCAAGCCCACGTCTGCAGCCTTGTGGTGAGCACTGAGAGGATGGAGCCTAAGTCAAGGGCACTAGGCAGGGTATGTAACTGCAGGTTAGGAGCAGGCAGGACCTTAAAATGGTCTAATATCAACCTCATGTTTCACAGGCACCCCAAAGGAAGCCTCAAGTTCAGGAAATAACCATAAATGACACAGCTAAAGACTGGCAGAATGGCTTGACCCTGGTGAGCACTCCAGCTGCAAGACTGCAAGCTTCCCAAGGAGGACAGGGCTGCCAGAGAGGCAGGAGAAGAGCTTTTCATCCCTCTTGAAGTCAGCTCCTGGCCTGCACCGAGCTGCCCTGGGCACTGGGCGGGGGAACGAAGGAAAGCAAGGCGTGCCAGTGCGCGGGCTGCCGGGCTGCTGCGTCCCAAGACACCTGAGTGCCGAGAGCGTGCGACGTGCTGCTGTCCTAAATCCTGCCACAGGCAGCAAACAAAAGCAGGAAAATGGCGGCCCATCTGGCTGGGGTGTAGCTCAGAGAGAGCATTTGCCTGGGTGTTTGAGCCTCAGATTCAATTCCTAGTGCCACAGCAGGAAAGGGAGGAGAGAAGGAAGGCAGAAAAGAAGGAGGGAAGAGAGAAGGGAGGGAGAAAAGAGGCAAGGAGGAGGAAGGAGGGGAAGACATGACTACCAAACACCGGTCTCTGTGTGAATAATACAGCACGTCACCAGGCCGCTTAAGTCAGGACAGATATTCTTTAAGATAAGCAGAGGATACGCATACTGCTCATTTTAACTTCATCCATGAAATAATGTATTTTGTACTCTTTTCTAATTTCTTTTGGGGGAAAAAGTCTTGTTTCATCTGCCCTGCTTTGCTCCTGTGCCTGCTTCTGCCGGCCGCCGGATGTCTGGGTTTCACTTGCTGATTTAGATGCTCGGCTGACACATTCAACCTTTTAAATAAATCATTCATTTTTTTAAAGGTTGGATATGTCATAGTGTTGTGATGCACCCAATTTTTTAAGTAACCGTTTATTTGATGTCGGGCATATCAGACATAAAAATAAATGTGACTTGGTAGAATTTTTTCAAATATATTTTTATTAGTGCCTATTAATTTTACAAAACACTGGTTTCCATGTGGCATTTTCGTACACAGTCATACGCACACCTCCTGTTACTCTGGCTTACATCCTTCCGTCCTTCATGCCCTCCCTCCTTGCTGCCCTCAAGCCATTAGTCTTTGGGATACCACGTCCTAAGGAAAACGTACCACACGTCTCTGAGTCTGGTTTATTTTGATGAGCATAGTAATTTCCAGGCCCCTCATTTTCCTGTGACTGACATAATTTGCTCTTCTTCATGACTGAATAATAATCTAGTGTGTGTGTGTACACTACATGCTCTTTGTTCATTCACTTGCTAGTGGGTACCTAGGCTGGTTTCATATGTTGGCTATGGTGAAACGCACCACCATAAACACAGTATTCATGTATTTTTATACTACACCGACTTTTAATTCCTGTGGAATATACTAAAAAGTGGCATAGCCAAGTCACATGTTAGTGTTAGTTTTTGTTTTCTATGGAAACTCCATAGCGTTTTCTGAAATGGCTGTACTAGTTTACATTCCCACCGGGAGCCCAAAAGTTACCTTCCCCACCCCCTGAATCCTCATCAGCATTTATGACTCTTTGCATTCTTATCGGGGTGAGATGGAATCACAAGGCGGTTTGGGTTGGCATTTCCCTAATGGATAAAGGTATTGCACAATTCTTCACACGCTTATTGACCATTTGTGCTTCTTTTGAGACATGTTGGTTGAATTCATTTGCCCACTTTTTAATGGGATTGTTTGTCTGCTTGGTGTTAAGTTTTCTGGGTTCTTTATGTGTTGTAGATATTAATCCTCTGTTGAAAGAGTAGTTGGCGAGACTTTCTCGGATTCTGCAGGCTGTTTACTGTGAGGTGTTTCCATTGCCTGCAGCACATGCATCATACAACCATTTTGGGAATGGGTATGATACAACTTGGTTCCTTTTTTAAAAAAATTCTCCTCCCATCCCTTCCTCCGCCCTCCTCCTCTAACTGCTCTTTCTGCATTTTCCATCTTATTGACATTATTAATCTGAGCTCATGTTTATGGCATATAATGTTTGCATTCACTGAGTTTATTAGGTTCCTGTACAGCATACTTTATTTTACTTATTTCTCCTCCGCTCCTATAGTCCCATTTGTTGCTTCTTGATATTATTTCCTACACTTTTGGAGTCCTATTCAGGTAGTCTTTGCCTGCACCTCTGCTTTCAAGAGCTTCTCTTACATTTTCTCCAAAATTTCCTATCTTCTACCTAGGTCTTTGAGCTACTGTGAACTCATTTTTACACAGATAGTTTCAATCTTCTACATATAGACGTACAGTTTTACCTGCACTATTTGTTGGAGAGACTGTCTTTTCCTCAAAGGATGTTTTGGCCTGCGTAATCAGAACTGCCCTGGCCTGTGGCAGCACAGGTTTGCTTTTGTGTCCTCCGTCCTATTTGCGTTGGTCCATTTGTCTGTGTGTGTGCCAGCATCATGGTGCTTTTGTTACTACGACCTTGAAATCAGATTCTGCAACGCCTTCAGCCTCTCTTTGCTTAGAATTGCTTTGGCAGCTGTTCTAGGGATTTTGTGTTTTCATATGAATTTTAGGATTTTTTCTATTTCTGTGAAGAACATCATTGAAACTTTGATGAGGATTACATTGAATCTATGGATCACTTTTAGGAATTCTGTGGACTCATGAGCACAGGAGGTCTTTCTATTTCCTGATATGTTCTTCAATTTCTGTCTTCAGTGTCCTGTAATTTTTATTGTAGAGATTTTTCACCTCCCTGGTTTGGCTGACTGCTAGATGTACGTTTTAAAATGATTGTAAATGGAATTATTTTCCTGATTTCTTTCTCAAAAAGTTTGTTATTGGTATACAGAAAAGATACGGGGTTTCTAAATGTTGATTTTGTGTGCTGTGGTAGAGCTTAATGCAAACACTTGATATCTTTGATCTGAATTTACTTATTTAATCAAAGAATTGAGAATATTTTCGGCCATATTCAGGAGAAATTATGGAACCCCTGTCTCCTGTGCCCATCTCTGTTTCCCGTAGCCTCTCCCTCCTGACACCCCCTCACGGCCAGCTCCTATCATCTTTCTGCCCTCCTCTCTCCAAACCTAGTTCTTAGGACAGGATTCCAAAGCAGCTGCTCACAGTGCATCGTGGATGCACCCAGGGTACAAGGCTGAGCAGCGGCTGCTTAGCTGTTTATCAAACTGCTAGAGAGTGCCATGGGAGGAACAAACAGAACTCTAGTTTGCCCTCCTCTCTCCCCACAGTCCATGAATGGTGCTGACTCACAAGGAAAGGCAGGGGTCTGGCTACTCCCCTGTCCGTGCACTAACATTTTAAAAAAAATTTTATTTAAGGAGAAAAAGAAAAAATGCAGAGAAAGGGTACAAGTAATACAGATTTAAAGAAAAAATAAACAGTGGGAAATCCCTAGTTAATGGATTACATATTGTCATCTTAGAAATAGTTGTTCAAGTTACAAAATGAAAGCTTATAAAGTGGACATCTCAACAGTGAGACTGCAAACAGTTCTGTTCAATGATCCAACAAAATTCAGTAATATCATTATCTATCTTATACACTTAAATATACATGCAGTTATATCGTTTAGAGCACTTTCTTTTCCTCTCTTTTGTACAATGACAATTACACATTTTGGGTTTTGTTGCTCCCACAGTTCTTATTAGTTTTTTGGAAGAGAGCAGAACCAAATGTGACAACAGAACAGAGTCAGTCAAATCAAAACGGTGGACATAATAGATAATGTCAAAGCATAATACAAGGTGATCAACAATGGTTACCATAATGCCTCCCGCTATCTCTAATAGAATTGCCTATATCATCAGTTATAATAAAATTGAACAAAACAGTAAAGAACAAAACCAGCAAAACCAAAACATTGGAGACATTAAAGGTCTTCAAAAGTAGATAATAGTCAACCAGAATGGGCATCATAATGAATCCCACTATCTTCACAGCTGTTGCCTAAACTTTCGAACCTGGTACTATCAAGCAAAACAGAATAGAGGGACATCAGTCAAAACAAGATGGTGAGAGCAATACAGGGCTTTAAATCAAGATAATGGAAAGTCAAACTGGGTTACTATAATATATCCTGCTATTTTTAAATTTATTTTTCCTTTAATTAAAAGAATAAAAATAAAAAAGTAAATAATAAAATGGAGATTGAGATAAAAGAGGGCATAACAGCAAAACAGCGCAGATCAAAACATAACCATTTAAGCAAAATAGTGTTTCACCACAAGATAATCCTGACATAAAAGTAGTTACCATATTGTCTCTTTCCTTGAAATCTTTGAGTATAACTTCGTATACTGTAGCATCAAATATATCAAAACAATGTAAAGCCATTTAAGAGAATGACAGTATTACAGGGTATTTAGAATCAACTAACAGAAAATGAACAATGTATAATCTCCTTGTCTATAAAAGTTTTTGCTTATACTATCATACATAATAAAATCCAATAAGATACAACCTGTTTAGACCAATGGAGACAGAAGAACAAAAGCTTGATGAGACTTCAAAACAAGATGATACTAAATCAGTATTACCTCTTAAGATGTCATTTTCTCCAAAATAGCTGTCCCTATCATCCAATCTTCTCTGCCTCATTTCTGTTGAGCTCTTTTTCTGTCATTAGTTGTCAGTTTGTCTTCTTCATTTTGTTTTCTGCTCCATTCATTGTGGCCTCTCTGCCACTATTTCTGGATTCTTTGTATTTTTCTTTTTTAGAATATCCTGCAGTATTCTCTGTAGAGTTGAATTGGTGGTTGCATATTCTCCTAGTTCCTCTTTATCCTGGAAGTACCTTGTTTTTCCATCAATTTCCAGGGATAGTTGTGCAGGAAGTATCAATCTTGACTGGAGATTATTACCTTTCAAAGCTTGAATTATTTCCCCCCATGCTCTTCATGATTTCATGGTTTGTGCCAAGAAATCTGCTGTAATTCTGATGGGTGTTCCCTTGTAAGTGATTTGTTTCTTGTCTCTGACCTCTTTTAATATTCTGTTCTTGTGTTGGATTTCTGTAATTTTAATTATTATATGCCGGGGTGTTGCTCTGTTTGGGTTGTAAGTGGCTGGGGTCCTTTATGCTTCATACAACTGAGTATCTTTACCTTTTGATAAATTAGGAAAATTCTCCTGGATTATTTCTGTGAGTAGCTTTTGTAGTTCATTTGTTTGTGTCCCTACTTCTTCTTTTATGTTCTTAATTCTTAAGTTATAGATCCTCTTATCATCTAGTCTTTGTATTATTGCTGTTTATTTCTTTGTTATTTTTAAGAAGTTTTTCATTTCATTCTCCCATATTACAAATCTGCCCTCCAGTTCAGATAATCTGTCCATAGTTTCTTTCAAGCTGTTATGCCAGTTTTCGATAGTTTTTAGTTTCCTGGTAATCTCTTTGAACCTGCTTCACGTATTCAATGCTTTCTCTATTTTCTCTATCAAACAATTCTCCCCTCTTTTTCTGTTCTTCCATTCCATCATCTGTTTTTTCTTGGGTGGGGCTTAGCATTTCTCTAACTATTATGCTTATGTCTAGCTTCAGGTCATTAATAACTTCATTCCTGAACTTGTCTATGAGGCTCTGGAGATAGTGCTTTATATCTATTGGTGCTGTGTCTGCTATTGCCTCTTTCTCAGGATTGGGAGCCGAGGACCCTTTCTTGTTGCTGCCTCTTCCCATATTCTTTATTCCTTATATATGCAAGCGTATATAGGAGGCCCAGCTTCCTTCCCTGTTGGCCACAGTCTGATTGAATTGCACCACCTAGGTGTTCCCATCCACCGCAGCGCACCAGGAAGTTGCAGACCAGGCAGCCTATGCGGGGCCCACCCCTCCAGGT